ACTACCTGTAAAACTTCTCTGGGGGTGCCTGGGTGGCTCAGTTGGTTGAGCTTCCAACTTCTGCTCAGGTCATGATCTAACAGTTCATGGGTTCAAGCCCCACATCGGGCTCTGTGCTGATAGCTCAGAGCCTGGAGCCTGTTTCAGATCCTGTGTCTCCCTCTCTCTCTGACCCTCCCCTGCTCACACTATCTCTCTCTCTCCTAGAAATAAATAAAACATTTAAAAAAATTCTCTGGCTTATGATCTGACTAATGTTTATTACTCATCTGTCAGGTTTCAGCTAGGACATGATTTCCTTGTGCAGGCTTTCCTGACCACTCATGGTATCAGTTGAATCACAGAGCAGCTCATCCTTTTTGTATGTGGTCCAGTGAATACTGTTGTAGAGGGAAGTCTCCTTACTTCCTGGTCCTCTGGACTGAGCACCTTTGCCCTGTTTCTGTGCTCCCTTATCTCTTCACATTTACCCATTCAAATGAATAGTACCCATGATACTCCACATTTTGACTGTCTTTCCACAAAACATGCAAGTTCCATTAGAGCAGGGACCCTGCCTTTTCTAGTTCAGTGCCTGGCACAGAAAAGATAATAAATAGCTGGTAAATGAATGTGTGACAAACAAATAAATGCCAAAGTGCTCTGGATGCTAAAGAGTGCTGCGAGCCATAGTCTTGTCTTTCCTGTCACATAGATGAGAAACTGAAGTCCAGAGAGGGACACTGGCTTGTTCAGGGTCAGGTAACAAGGGGCATGGCTCTCACCCAGAGCGGGGGCTCCAGCTTCCCCAGCCTCCTTTGATCTATCCTGGGTATTAAAGGTTTGTCTGTTTTTTAGGAGCACCTGGGTGCCTCAGTCAGTTAAACGTCTGACATCGGCTCAGGCCATGATGTCACATTTTGTAGGTTCAAGCTCCGTGTCAGCTCTGTGCTGACTGCTCAGAGCCTGGAGCCTGCCTTGGATTCTGTGTGTGTGTCTGCTCTCCCCTGCTCATGCTATCTCTGCTTCTCAAAAATGAATACAACGTTAAAAAAAATTTTTTTAAGTTTGTGTTTTTCTTTCCATTTGAAAATACCTTGGGGGTAGAATCCAGACATCTAGGTACTAAATGGCAATTTCTCACGGCTGAATGATGCGGAGAAAGAACTGTTTTGCCATTTGGGAAACTTGGCTTTCAGTCCCAGGACTGCTCCTAATTCGTGACATGACCTTGTATTCTAGACCTCAGTTTCCGTGTCTGTGAACCAGTGAGGTTGGATAAATTGTTGGAGCACTGAGCAGAGAATTTTTAAAAACCTGAAGGCTTTTGAAAATCTAAGAATGGGAAAGCACTGATATCTGAGGGGAAACTGGATATCTTGCTCCCCCCGCTGCTGCCATGACTGAGCAGGATGGAATATAGGTACAGACCCAACTCCTACCCCCGGGTGTGCTGAGGGCACGGTGGATGAAGTCAGCTGCTGAGGAGAAGTAGGCACTGATGTCGAAATTGGGGAGATCATGGGCTGGCACGCCCAGGTAGGTCACACTGCTGCCGTAGAAGTCAGGACCGCCCTGACAATAGAGTCCGCCGTGGGCTGCGTTCAGCACGTGGGTGATGCCCAGCTTCCATAGCTCAAAGCGGTTATTTGCCGTGGCCCTAGGAAGGGGGAGGAATGGGGCTGGATGCTGGTTAAGCCACTGGGGTCCAGAAGGGAGGTTTTGTCTGCCCCCCCTGCTTCAGAGGTCCAAAGGGACCCAAGAAGGAACCCAGTAAGCTTGAGCCCCACCCTCAGAGCTTTGTGGTGGAAGGGTTGGTAGTATAGGGAATTATCTTCAGACCCTCTTTGCTACCGGAGGTGATCTGCTCCTGCTTTGGCCAAAACAGGAAGGAAAGAATTGCCTCAGCCCTGGAATCCAGCTGCCCCTCCTTTCCTGCCCCATGCCCTCCCACGCACAACTGGCCTCTTCTGGCCACCACCTCATACCTGCTTCTAATTTGCAAATGTTTAATGACACCCCTGATTTACCTTCCTCACCCACCCTAAGTCCAGAGAACGCTGGACCCAGAAAGGGGAGCTCTCTGTCCATCCCATGTCATAACCAGAAAGAACCATTCCCCAGGCCTCTCTGTCCCTGACTGGCCAGTTGTCCAGGATATATCAGAAGATGTGTGAATCCTCTGGGAGCTCCAATCATCCAGGCAGGCAAAAGCTTTGCTCCCCCTGGTGGTCACACCTGATCACTGCACTTAGCCCAGCATACAGGAGTCCTAGAGTCAGTCCCTAGCCTGAGATGTGCAGAGCAGAACTATTTGCCTTGTTCCACCCCACTCCCTGTCTTTGGTAAAGAGCCCAAGAACTGTTTCTCCTTGTCCCCTTCCCCACACCCTTTCCCACCAGCTACCACTCACGCATCTCCTATGTAAAGGTTGGGCCAAACTTCGTCCACGTGGCTGCAAGAAACTTTCCCTGCCCTCAGGAGCTCCTCCAGTTCCAGAACGCTGGGGCAAGGTGTGGCTTCGGCATCTCCCCTCAGCTCTGGGACTGAGGCTTCAGCCATGGGCCAGCCCCAGCCCTCTGTCTCTGCGGTCACTCCTCTCCGCCTCTCCAGTGTCATTTCTCCTTACTGGAGATTGGCAGGCACAGGTGGGACAGAAGCAAGTGACTCAGCAAGTCGTGGAGCCTCCAGAGAGAACAGGACTTTTCCCCCCAAGTCACTCCCCTAACCCCAGACTCCGTGACAATATGGAACCCATCATATGTCTGCAAATCACTTTATTTCTCCATCTCAGTTTCTTCATCTGTAAAGTAAGGATAATTGTACTTACTCAAAGAATTGTGAGGATTAAATGAAACAAAGGATATTCTGTATCTAACACATAGTAATGCCTAAGAAACATTTGTTGAACTAATAGGCTTTGGGCCCCGAGGAAGGTTATTTAGTTCTGAGGACTGAGTTAACGTGGAGATCCAGGGTGGAGAGGGGGTGATTGATTCCAAGGATGAATGATTAAAAAAAGCTCTGCAGGTCTGGGTGGGCCACATATGGCTGCTGAGTGAGCCTCTGGACTATGCAGCTCAGGGGAAGTTTCCAGAGTTGTAGAGTCAGAAAAATGTGGAGAGGAGGCATGGAAAGCTTCATCTCAAGGATGCCCATGGGGTTTGTGGGGGAAGGTTTGAACATAGTTCTGTACTGAAGGTGGCTGATTTCTCAAAAGAGAAAGCTGAAATGGCTCTGTACATCAAAGGGAGGGGGAGGAGGGAAGTGAATGTTGCCCTAGACTTTCTGAAGAGCCAAAGGAACTGTCATCAGAAACATTTTTGGGATGGGAGGGAGATTGCCCTGCTTAGGAGGGCTTTAGCCCACAACAGAAACTAAGAGAAGTCTATATCTGCTCTCTTGCCTGAGGCAGTTATGGGCAAAAGAGGTAAGAGGCCTTGCCCGCTCTCAGGTGAGTTTGTGAAGGCCTTGATGGGTCGGGAAGAATATGAGTTACAGTGGTGATGGGGTTTTGGGGTAGTGGGGGTTCAGAGCTGACACCCGAGAAAGAATTCTGGAAGACACCTTTGGTGCAAAAAGGTGATTTTATTAAAGCCTGGGGACAGGATCCTGGACAGAAAGAGCTGCACTGGGGTTGTGAAGAGTGACTGGTTATATGCTATGGAGTTGGGGAAGGTAAAGTCAATAGGAAGTTTCTTAAAGGATTTTCATATGCTAAAACTCACAGGTTACTGAAGACCTAGCTATTGTCAAGCTAAAGTTGTTTTTCCCTCTAGCAAAGCATTATCTTTAAGATGGTAGGGAGTTCCTGGAGATTAAACTATTGGTAAGATCGCCTTTTTCTTGTAATTTACTAAGGTATTTGTAAACTGCTGTAGATTCTCAGTTTAACCATTTGTTTTCTTTTTTTAAAAAGTTTATTTTTGAGAGAGTGAAACAGAGGGTAAGTAGGGGAGGGACAGAAAGAGAGACAGACACAGAATCCGAAGCAGGCTCCATGCTCTGAGCTGTCAGCACAGAGCCTGACGTGGGGCTTGAACCCAAGAACCGTGAGATGGTGACCTGAGCTGAAGTCAGAAATGCAACTGACTGAGCCATCCGGGTGCCCCTTAACTATTTGTTTTCTGTCCTTTCTTTTGTTTTTGGGCAGCTCAGAGTGCCTGAGGAATGTCACATGTGTACCACAGGGGTCTGGGGTGGGAAGGGGTGTTGTTAGCTTGTGCTTTGCCCTCAGCTTGCCTTATGCTCCCTCATCAGTGGGAAGGCTCCCAGCTGCCTCTGGCCTTGAGTCCAGCTTGAGGGTAAAGGCTATAGCGAGTCATCCCATGGGAGGAGTAGGCACTCATTGCCCCCCCAGAACCTGTCTCCATTCCATCAGAGCCTCCGAAGTCTGCTCTGCACTTGATGGGGAAGCAAGATCAAGGAGGGTTTGGATCCCAGGTCACAGGTGGTTTTGGACTTGGTTTATGCCAATTCTAGGCCTGGGTTAGGGTCTCTCTGAGAATAGAGTGAGAAGAGCACAGAATCTTAAGGTAGATTTAAGCAAGACTACTGGCTTCAGCGCGTATTAACTTTGGTACCTCAGGTAGGTTTTTTGGCAGTTCTGTGTTATAATACCCTGCAGAGTTGGCACAAAGATTACGTGAGATATTTGTATAGCATTTGGCATAAGCACTGTCAGAAAGTAAAGAGACAATAAATGGTAACAATGATCATTGGACATTGGCTCTTGCAGAGGAGCTGGCTCCCTCCAAAGGAATTAGGTAATTTCTTCTTGTTCCCAAACCCCATTTAATAGTCCCATAGACCCAACCCAACTTCACCAGCCATTTATTTTCTCCCACTTTGGCGTTGAGCCTGACGCATGCGCTCTCGGATTTCCTTGCTGCGGTTTTCCTTCCCCCCGCCCAGCTGGAGTCCCGCGACCCTTCCGGTTTGGGCCCCACCCCCGCCCGTAAGCTCCGCCTCTCTCCGGTAGGGCCCCTCCTCCCGAAGCAGTTCCGGTTCGGATTCAAGCGGCTGCCGGCGCGACCAAGGCAGGCCGTGGCGATGCCTGCGCGCAGCCGCCACCGCCCCCGCCTCCGCTCCGGCTCTCCTCCCCGGGCTCCGCCGCCGCCTCTCGAGGCGCTTCACTCCTGCGAGGCCCGGAGAGCCCGGGACTCCGACAACGTCTCGGACACCGACTCGGAGTTGGGTCGGGGGAGCCCGACTCGGACTGCAGAGGTGAGCCGGAGCTGAGCCTGAGGAGAGGGGAGTTTGGGGGGCGCTTGCAGCGGAGGATGAGTTGGGAGTCAGGGGCGGAACCGGGGCTGCGAAGGACTGGGATCTGGAGGGGCCACAGGCGACGGTTGAGGGAGCCTGGAGAGTCGGCTCTAGAATGGAATCTTTAGGAAATGGAGGCTGTTGAGTCGAGGGCCTTGAGGTGAGGTGGGAGAGTGGGAGACTGAGGGAGAGGTGGCCTTGAAGAGGCAAGGGCTTGGAAGGTTTTGAGAGCCGAATAGTGAGGGAAGCAGATCGAGGGGGTCCCGCATGAATGCAGGACTGGAGGAAGAGATGCTCCAGGATTTGGCAGTGGGGGCGCGGGATCGTAGGAATCAGGAACACGGTCGATATTACTGCCTGGCGAGAGAGACAGAACCGGGTTGTGACTGATGAGGTAGCTGACCAGAGTCGGGAGGTGGGGGTAGTTAGGGGAAGGATTTCGGTTTAATTGGAAAAGGTGGAGGCTGTAGGCTAGGAAGTCGTCTGACCTAAAGGGCCATAAAAAGAGAAATGGGGTCAAGAAAGAAAAAGAGCCCTTGGGGATCTAATTTAGGGTTTTGGCATTTGCACAGGTGTCTTTGAAAGCGTCGAAGATCACTAGGGTAATATGCTTGGAATATGGGACTTTCTTATTTGTAGACAGCGGATCATTTTAATAATCCGGGGTTGGTGTTGAACACTGATTTGCCGGAACGACTGGGGGAAGTAGTAAAAAGGAAGTGATGTTTGGGAAAGATAGAGAAAGGGAGTGATTCTGAAAATAAAGATATCATTTGGGTTTTTTCTAACAGTAATAGCGTGGTTTTTTTTTTAAAAAAATTTTTTTCTTAAAGTTTGCTTTAAATACCAGACAAGTTTAGATCTTTAAAAAAGATTTAATGCACTACCATTAAGTTAAAAAAAAAATAACCTCAGAACAAAAATTTGGACACTTAGGTTTTACAGAGACTCAGTATTGACTGGTTCCACTTTGACAGTTTGAGTTGACAGATTATTTTTATTTACCACAGGGTGAAAGTATGATCAATGCAGGTTAAAAGGGTTTTTAAAACAACAATTCACCCTTGAACAACAGGGAGTTAGAAGCATGCAGTCATAATCCCCGATAACTTTTGACTCTACGAAAACTTAGTTAATAGCCTGTTGCCCCAGAGCCTCACTGGTAACAGTTGATTAACACATTTTGTATGTTGTGTGTATTATATTCGGTATTCTTATTATAAAGTAAGCTAGAGAAAAGAAAATGTTAAGAAAATCATAAGAGAAAATACATTTCCAGTACTGTGCTGTATTTATCCGGAAAAAAATGTGCATATAAGTGGACCTGTGCACGTCAAACCCATGTTGTTTTAGGGTCAGCTGTATATGTGAAATCACTACAGTCCAGGAGTACCAGCTCTTTCTCTCACCCGTAACTCCAGGATTTGAGTCGCTTCTTGAGAATTGGAGAAGTCCTTTTGAGACATTCGCAGGACCAGTATTAATGCAACTTTATATATATTGTACAAATCATATTTTTAGGAGAGTCATCTAGAAAAGTAAGAACAGAGGATGCTTGCAGTTGTCAGTAAATAGAACTGGGATAGGCGAGGGACTGGGATAGAAGATGTAGTACCAAAACAGTAATTGTGCCAGAAAAATAGTGATTGCAATACTTACATTCGCTTTAGTATAAGTAAGTTAATTTCCTTTTGTAATTGTTAAATTATAATATGGCTTCAAGCAGTCTTTGACTTTAGCTATGTTTCATATGTAGTTACTTTTGCAACTTTTTATTTCATTGTATGTTTTGCACGTTCGTGGCCCATTTCAGAACAAACTTTTAATCAAGTGTTTCTTCTCTAAACAGGTATCTATTTAATTTTCACGCAGTGAAAATGTACTTTATTGCAAAAGCTTTTAAATTAGCTTGTATATATAGACTGTGTCATATCTTCAAATGCTTAGTGGACTAGTAATTATTTCTTCAAAGGAGAGATGAATTCTTTGCTTTAACTGTTGTCAAAGAATCTTTGGTTGGAGGTTACATAGTATTACTATTGTTTCTGTTTCTGTTTACCCTCACGAGACTGAGATTATCTCTAAAGATCTTGCCTTTATAATAAAATAAAAGTCTAAATAAAAGTCTAAATAAAAGTCATGGCATTTAAAAACTTACTGAAGGGAACTGAAATAGAACTCTCTATTAAGGTTACATCTTAATATTACTGAAAATTAAACTATTAAGTGAAGTGGTATAATTTATGTTTATTTATCTTTGAAAGAGAGACCGAGAGACAGAGCATGAGCCGGGGAGGGACAGAGAGAGAGAGAAACACAGAATCTAAAGTACGCCCCAGGCTCTGAGCTGTCAGCACAGCTGAGCTGTCAGCTCAGAGCCTGACCTGGGGCTCAAACTCACGGACTGCAAGGTCATGACCTGAGCCACTCAGGTGCCCCTCTAATGAATATTATTATTATTTTGTCTTATAAGAATGACTGTATTAAGTAGCTCTTACTTGAAAATTCTTACCTTCTGACCTGATGTAGTATATGGTGTTAAGTAGGGTGAATCTAAAATAGCCATGAGTCATGACAGAATTCTTACTTTAGGTCTTACTGTCCTCTTGCTTTGAGAAATCCAGAAGTTAAAAATTGGAGAGTATGGACTGGGCATGCTTGGAGAACAATTCAGTGTTTACATGATGCCTCTGTCACTGGTTGGTAATTTGTCACATGCATATGGGATATGAAATTGTGGCAGACTTGTGTGAATATTCCTGGGCTCTCTCCCCCCATATCCACAGCACTGTCATCACTGGATCTTAAGTTTAACCTTCTAGCTGAGTCTAGACTTCATGTCTCCATATTGAAATATTCTGTTACTTCCCTACACATTGGGTCTTCCTGGTAATAAAATCACTTCAGTGCAGAATGTAACATAATATGACTCTATCTTTGCTCTTGCTTAGCATAGTAGAAACTAGGAGAACTTGGTTACAATAGTTTTGTCACAGTCTTTCACCATAAAATAGTTTTCATCATGTGTACTTCTAAAGAGTGTTATGGAGTCAGTGACCTATATTTATATTTGTCTTAGATTTTTATTGTGGGCTTAGTTGAGTGTTTTAAATTGTGGCACTGGACAAGAGAGGTAGTGTCTTTATCTATCTTGACCGTTTGCCCTCTTAAAATTCTTGACAGGTAAGACATTCTAGTAGGTGGTGAGAACCACGAATTCTGCTAATTTTAAATCTAGATGGTGAGAACCACGAATTCTGCTAATTTTAAATCTTGTAAGTTTCTCTGTATCGCTGAGTTATTGAAAATGTCTGCAAATTGGTTGTAGTTTGGAACTTTGAGACTAAGTTAAATCAATATCAGTTTCATCAATATAATATTGTCATGAAAGTCAAAGATTGCCAAAACCATACATTAAATTTTGAGTCTAGATTTAGTATATTTTCACAATATTGTAATGGATTTTGAAATATTGAGCCAGTTTCTCATTTTCCATCATGTTGATTTGATTTGAAGGTGTAGCATATTTAAAAATAAGGATATTACCAATCAATATGTCAAACTACTAGCTTTCCAAATATCATTTTTAGTGATTGGAATAAGAATTGGAATTTATATACTTCTTTGCTGGTTCATTTCTTTGTACTGGCCTGCAGCCAGATCAAGATCCCCATCATCAAATTTACTACTAAATTATCATCATTGTGTAAAACATCTTACTGCAACTGCAGGTTTAAACTGGACAATATTGTCTAATTAGATTCTTACTCATTGAGCTGAGATGGTTCTGGATGTGATATAGAATTAGATGCATCCTGCTAGTGGGATTCTTAGATTAAAGGCAAGTTAGAGCCAGAAAAAGTATGGGTTCTTTGGTATACATGACTTTTTTTTTTTTTTTAATAGTATATGAGATTGCATGATCTGGGCAGCCAAAAAATCTCCCTGAACTGAAGTGCAGCCAAAAAAATGATGTTGTAACGAAGAAGGCAGTTTAATTTGTTCAGATGCGCTGCCTCAAACTCTACTGCTCAGAAGTGGGATATAACAAAATAGTAAAGAATCAACTGCTAGAGTTTCAAAAATGGTTGGTAGAAATTGGTTCAGTGTCTTTGTAACTGTTTTGAAATTATAGCAGATTTCATAGATGTTTTGGAAACAGTGCTCTCCGCTTACGAAGGTAAACTGGGGCACCTGGGTGGCTGAGGCAGTTAAACATCTGACTCTTGATCTTGGCTTAGGCATGATGTCATGTCCCATCACTGTGAGTTTGAGCCCCACATGGGGCTCTCTGCTGTCAGCATAAAGCCTGCTTCAGATCCTTTGTCCCCCCACTTCTCTGCCCCCCTCCCCTGCTCTCTCTAAACAATAAATGAATAAATGTTTAAAAAAAGAAAGAGAAAATAATAGTTTTTGTTTGCTTGATGAAAAGATTTAAAAATAGGATAAAAAAATAAAAATGGGACCAGAAAAAAAGCTGCATAGTCCTAAATACTACAAACTGCAGCACTAAATGCCCAAAGTAATCTTTGTCCTTCTAGATTATAGTTTAGGCTTTTTACTTTTATAAAAGTTAAATTATGCTCTGGCTTATGGATCTGTAAAATGGTATAATTTGTCTGTATTAACTGTATAATAAGTAAGCTTTATTAGCTAAAATTGGATTTAAGGTTATTTTAGCATGAGTTCAACTATGTGTAATTGCTTTACAGAGAATATATTAACATTAACTTTATATAATTTTTAAAAATCTCTTTTCCCTCTTTTAAAACATTTTTTTTTAATGTTTTATTTATTTATGAGAGAGGGAGAGACAGCATGAGCAGGGGAGGGTCAGAGAGAGAGGGAGACACAGAATCTAAAACAGGCTCCAGGCTCCGAGCTAGCTATCAGCACAGAGCCCGACGCAGGACTTGAACCCACGAACCGTGAGATCATGACCTGAGCCGAAGTTGGACGCT